AAAAATCCGGGTCGGACTCTGCTCGCTGCGCTGCTCGCTGGCGCTGGCTCCGCCACCCAGCGCGGGCGGCGCGGCGGGCGCAGCCAGAAGGGCGTGTCCACGCAATCATAAATTGCGCTAACATTTTCCGCTTATTTCCTTTCTTTTCCTCCTCTCCACCCAACGCTTAGCGGAAATTTGATTCGCGGTCACGATAAGTGGCGCCGCCCAAAATTTCGGGATCGGACGCCGTTTTAGGGGTTGCAAAGTTAATTGGGACAAATGGACACGCATAACGAGCCCCTCAAAACAGAGAGGTGGTTGAGCCACCAGTGTTGCTCAAATTGTGAATTTTCTTGAAATTTGTCGAGCCTGAGCTAAAATCGTACGGACACCGGCGGATTCTGAGTGTCACTCTCCGACGCACGCCGCACGGCACGCCACATTGACCTGGATCGCAGGACGTAAACAAACGTGTTGTTCCCAAGGCTGCCTGTGCCTGCCGCCCCCCAGCCCCAGCCTTGACCCAGAAATATCAACGGCAAGAGATCCTTCGGCTTGCGGTACGACTCCGCGCGGTGGGCACAGCTCTCCAGACACAAACACGCACGCACGCACGCACGCACGCGTCCCTCTCCACACGCGACGCCCGGGGAAATTTTTCGAGATCGAATTCCGTCCCGCAGTTGTCAGCACTGCGCGCTGCTGCGGCGTGGGGCGCGCGGCGGGGGCGGCTAGAGCCGGGTCCACCCCGCTATGATGACTTTACTGCCCTTTACTATGCTAGTCTTGCTGGCGCCACGGTATCGAACAGGCCCGGTCCCGCCGCCCCCCGCCGCGCCACCCCCCCCGCGTCCCGTCCCGCGCGCACAGCGCCAGAGAGCCACAGCCTCCGCCTGGACCAGCCCCGCACTCCCTCGACTCACTGTTTCTCTCAGTCTCTTTCTGGATCACAGCAAACTTTCGAACCAATTTCCTGCATGAATTTGTTTGCATTCTTTTCGGTTCATTAGCTGTGAATGTCAAATTTTGGAAATACCGTGCGTAAGGTTGATTGGAGGATGTTGTTGGCCTCGTTCGTGACACGTTTTGGCTGAGGGTAGACAGATATAACCTCAGTGATTGCGACTTATTCTGTCTTCACCAAGCCAATTAGCTAATTTCATGTTTTTCGATAACCCCCTTTCCCTTCCTACACCCGACTGTCTTTTATCGCATCCCATGGGACGATGGAGGGTTTTACAGGACAGAAGTCTATACATATCACATATCTCTGTTGTGCATTCTATCTTCCCGTAGCACTTTTCATCTACAAAGAATAAGAGTCCTGGGAGGACCCACTGCTGCTGCATTGCACCCCCCCCCCCCCCCCCCACACACACACAAGTCGGACAATAGCACCCCGAGTCAGCGCTTGGCCGTCACTCTTGGACGCCCTTGTGTTGTAATCTGCAAAGCGAACTCGGGAGGAAATAGGAAAGGGTTGAGACGCCTGTGGCTGCATAGGCGAGTGGCAAGTGGTAAAGACGGGGAGAGGCGGGAGAGAGAAGTGGGAGGAGGGGAGTTGCAGGAAATACCCGAATTTCCGAAATGCCAAAAGTAGGGCACATGGTTTTTAAAAAGAACCGTTTGGTCGTACGACAAACCAAACTGCGAACAAATCACAAAATAGCCCAAGTTGCTATCTTGCAGTGCGATCACGTTGCGCGCTCGAACATAGCAGACGAGAAGTTAGGTTATGTGAAATTGTAATTCACGCAGAGGTTGATACAGATTCATACAGATTCTCTCGACACACCACGCACCCCTTCCCTTCTCTCATTCATCAAGCTAACACATATTTATAGCTTCGGAACAGTTTCAACGGGTGTGCACTAACCTCTACGATGGAACGCCGGGCCAGTTTTGGAGGACAAGCGATGTCATTTTAGGTTGTCGACACGCCCCCACTTGATGTTTCAGACACAAATTTGTAGTTTTACTTTTTTTGCTGAGCTGAAGTTGGTGCTGAGCTTAACTTGAACTTGAAATTAAACTTTAACTTTAAATGCTCAGCTCTGTCAGGAAGCGTGAGACGCGGGATGTGAGGTTGACAGGCTTGCCAACCAAAATCGCGAAAACGTTTTTTAATTTTAGCGCGCCGCAGGCCAAGGTAGACACACATTTAGCTCAGTTTCACACGGTTTTAACGTGCGTCTACCTTGTAATAGGAGGCTTGAACAATGGCCAACGCCAGCAAAGTCGACTTTGGTGTTGCTGCGCTCCTGCGCTCTGCTGTCACAACCCACATCCAAGGCCAGGAGTGCGTTCGAGGTCAGTCTGCCACCGATCGGGTGATTTGCTGGCTGCAAGTGGGTTCGACTCGACAACGGGCGGACGGCGCTGGGGGCGGGGGCGCGTGTGCGTGCGTGTGTTGGAGAGAAGAGGGGGAGAGGGAGAGGGGGCGGGTCTAGGGGGTATCCTATCCGCCGCAGTCTAAGCCTCAAAGTCCACTCCTGCAAATAACTCCCCAGCGGCCTATCGGCAGGACCGGACCGGCCGACAGGACGGACGTCCGCGCCAAGCATTTCCGACTTCCCCACATACGAGGGAGGCGCGCTTGTGTGTGTTTGAGTGTGTGTGTGCATGTGAGTGTGTGCCAGTGTGTGTGAGAGCGCGCGTGTGTTTGCGCCCCAAACTGCTTCTGCGGCAACGGCGGCGGCGGCGCTGAAAAAGTTTGGACGTGGCCCATTCATAAAGGGCTGCCGGGGGCTGCGGCCGGGCCGGGCGCTCCTGCGGCTGAGGCTGACCGGGCCGCGCCGGCCAGCGTCAACGGCGCTATCGGGGAGGACGCACCTGCCGGCCAGCGGGGCGCGGGGCGCGGGGCGCGGCCCGGGCGCGAGGGGAGGTCGGGAGGCTCTTCCTCCTGACCTCCCCGCGCGCGCACGGGGGACCCCGCCAGGCAGCGGGCCGGGCAGCGGGCCGGGCAGCTGGGGGGCGTGTCGGCCTGAAGACCCTCAGGTCCGAATCCGATTGCCAGCGGTGTCGCAATCAGGAGCACGGCGACAGCCGTCACACCCGCCCTACCCCCACCCCGGCCCTGCACCGCACCGCGCCCAGGGAACGGCCTCTTACCACCGTCTTTACCTGACTTTTCCCTGATTGTTTCACTCTCAGGTGACGGCCACGGCCACGCCGAGCACCGCCGCTACCGCCGCCAGCACCACCACCACCACCAGCTCCACGAGCTGACCTGGAGCTAGGCGCTGCTCGGCCTGCTGAACAATGCGGAGGTGGTCGAACCGCACCGGCACCGCCGCAGCGGACAGGAAGACTCTGCGGGGCTTCCCTCTCAAAAGTGCTTGTCTCAGGGGTCGTGGTGCCCCACCCCGCCCCGCCCCGCCCCAGAGCGTAGGGGCACGGGGCGCACCCTTCGACAGGCACGCGGCCCCGCCACGCAGAGGCACAACTTCCTCCCCCTCGTCGTTTCTTCCTCACAGATTACACGGCAGATCCCGCCCCGAGCAGGCCTCTAATAAGTAATGCTAAATCGGGTTGGCACGTCTGATCATCAGCGCGTCATCAGTCAAGAGCAATCAAGAGGGAGAGAGAGAGAGAGAGAGAGAGAGAGAGAGAAAGCATGGGGTGTGGGGGTAATTCATACAAAACCCAACTCTGGGTCGGGCCCCGCGGGAGCCAAAATGAAGAACGCTATAGTTTGGACGGACTGCTGCTGGTGGGAGCATCATCACGTCCGCCTCTCTCTCTCTCGCTCGCTCTCTCTTTCTCTCTCTCTCTCTCTCTCGTTTGCTCGCTCTCCCACCCGCGCGCCCCCTTTCCCCCGGGCGGTCCCTGGGCGGTTGAGGGATGTGTAATCTATCACAGGGGTCGGCCAGAGCGACTATTAACAAAAGGGCGCGGCCTGGCGAAATGGAAGGAGTAAAGCCCTCCCCCTCCTCTCCCTCCTCTCCTCTCACCCCTACTCCTCCCCTCCTCTACTCCCCTCCCCCGCCCTCCTTCGGGGCACAGTGTATTACACAATAATAACGCACACGCAGTGCTGTCCGTCCCGACACAATACCGTCGCAGAGGGAGTGGGAGTGGGGGCCTCACGTCGGCGGTGGCGGTAGGCGTAGGCCGCGGCTCGACGGCTCGACTCGGCATCCCCGTCGCATCCCGTGGACTCGCATCCCACACCAAAAGGGATGAGCGGGATCAGGAAGTAGGAAGGGGATCCCGTGGCGCACTCGCACGTCTGGCTGCTGCCGCTCGCCCGCCTCCGTCGAACTCGTTGCGCAGCAGCCAGCTGCAGCGGCAGCAGTCTTTAGCGGGCCTGCAGCAGAGCCTGCAGCCTGCAGGCCCCGACAAGCA